GAGAGAGAGAGAGAGAGAGAGAGAGAGAGAGAGAGAGAGAGAGAGAGAGAGAGAGAGAGAGGGGAATACATATGTATCAGGAAAAAGAAGGTCGGAGCGAGGACAAACACACATTCTCGCTTAATTAATAATGCATTTTTGCGAAATAGAATTATGACATTTTCGAAATATCACATTATTGCCTATGCACGAGGCAAAACACGTGGCGAGGGGCTGTAGAAATTCGAACACGGGATGGCGTTTGCGCAAGTTCCGTGTCTTCGGCGCTGCAAAGCTTCGCACAACGCGTTTAGTTTCGCGCGATCTTGCGGTGGTGGAGGATCACGCTTTTCGGAGGCTAAAGTGGACATTGTGGTGAGCTGAATTTAAAACATCGTATATAATACAGGTAGAATCACACACACGATAAACAATTCTGAATATTCACGATAATCTAATCCGAATGCAACGACTATCTTTGAGTTGTCGTCAGAGAAATCAATGATTCGAACAAGCTTGCTTAAAAAGTACTGCTTCAGTGATCAAAGCTTTTGTAATATTATTCTTTAGTCGATTCTTTGGTTGATAAATATAAACGTTACAATGCATTTTTTAAGATAGCTATGTAGTAAAACATGCAATTTTGATTATATAGACTCTATATAGACAATATACCACATAAAGCAAGAACAATAAAAAAGTACATTGTTAATCCTTATTAGGGCAGGCGGATTCCACTGGACGCGTAAAAATGTTTGAACTGACGCAGGAAATGCGAGTGTTTAATTTAATTACAATATTCAAAACAACACGAAAAGATTAAAAATAATACTGATAAATTAAAAATTCAAAGTAATATTGAAATTTAATATTGATTTTGAAAAGATTAAAAATAATACTGATAAATTAAAAATTCAAAGTAATATTGAAATTTAATATTGATTTTGAAAAGATTAAAAATAATACTGATAAATTAAAAATTCAAAGTAATATTGAAATTTAATATTGATTAATAATGATTTTTTTTAATCTTCTACTAAAATTGCACAGTTATTAAGTTTTATCTCTCTCTCTTTCTCTATTTATTTCTCTCACTCTCTCTGCGCCAGAAAATGCTAAATGTAATTGCATTTGCGTATGAGAGAAATGATCTTTGGATCCAACCGACTTCGCTTGCCCGGGCGAGAGTTCATATAGTTTCCTGAAAAGCTTCCTAAAAATATCTTGCTGTCGTCGATGCGGAATTAAGGCAGGAGGTATGGCTAATCATAAGCAATATTTTGGCAGAGTCCGTGTCGAGAGAGAGAGAGAGGAGTGCAGCACGCAGATTCACACCATCCATCTCATGATAACTCAGACGAAGGACCTGGTGAAGGACTCCGTCGGCATGTCCACCTACGAGAGGACGAGCGACGCGCCTTATCTGACCATCATGACGAGGATCGTGGGGGTGTGCACCGCTATTGGTAAGTCGAAAATTGGTCTCGTTGAATAACCTTTTACCGGCTCATCTTCCCATTCGAATTTGCAAGCGATTCGAAGGAGATTCGAAGGAGATTCGGCGGAAAAGAGAGAGAGAGAGAGAGAGAGTGAGAGAGGGACGTCGTTCGAATAGAAATTCCATCTCGAAGACATGCCTCCTGGTAGGATAAAAACGATCGTCGTCCCGAGTGTCGCCCCTTGAGTGCGAGCGAGGGGAGCTGGTGAGAGGACGGCGCTATACGCTTTTCATTACGGCGTGAAAGAGCTTACATCTGTCTGCGAGGCTGTTTGCATCCGCTTAATATTAATGGATCGTTATAACGGCGGAAGACAGTAGCCCTGCGGACAGGCCTTCTCTTCTTCTACTCCCGGTTTTGCGCACGTTCAAGGGTGCCGCTTAAATAGGATGTCATTCACTATCGGCCTCGACGCATCGCCGTTCTTCCTGGCGTATCCGAGCGGGAACATTGAGCGTGCGCGCGGACACGGAGCTCTTTTCTTTCTGAAAGCAGGTCTCTTCAGTCAGCTGTGCGTCAGAACGCATTTTCTTTTGTTTCTCTTCTCTCTTCCTTTCATCGGCAACGATTCTATTGATACAACGACGCGGCAAAAGAGACCGGGTCAATTTAACTATGCGTCTCATTTGTGTCTTTACTATGAAAACAAACAGTGGAGGGAAATAGACGCGAAATCTTTATTTTAACAAGACAGAACATACTTTTCCTAAAGAGATCGTTTTGTGATGGGAAAAGTGTTTACAAGATATCGACGCAAAATGTCCTATGTGTTTCCTTTCGTATACATATAGATAGGGTCAAACTGAACACAAAGTTTTCCATTTTGCGTACAACCGCATAAAATTTTGAGTTGTCAATTAAAGAAGATCGGCGGATCCCGCGCGCGATAATATACTAATGTTCCTTAATTAATAATTACAGATCTACGTGGCTATTTGTAAAAATAATACAAGAGTTTTCCAATTTGACCTAAATCTACAAACGCACAACTCATCAGCCATGTCATGCGTGACCATGCGCCAATTTTCTTTAATCAATAACTCAAAATCTTACGTAGTTGTCTGCAGAATGGTGGAGGAATTTTGTGTGTTCGGCGTTTGACACTACATGTACGGGACACTTTGCATCAGACATCCTGTACGTTCCGAGAGGACTGTTTTGCAACAGGAAAAGTATCCAAAGTGGGAACACTTTATGACTGCTTCCACACCGTTTCTCTCTCTCGTAGTAAATACGCAAGCGAAACGCACGACCGACATGACCATTTGGCTAAGTTGACTCGATGTCACATGTGCTTTAATGGAGCGTGGTGCGACACCATGAGCCATCGTCGAGTCCGGCTACACCGATGACGCGTGTTTACTTCGTATCGGATAGTACCTTTTTCCCGCCCCCGCGATCGCGCGTGACAAACAATAACGAAAACTACTCCCGGCGGATCCGTCCTCCCCCTCCTCCTCCTCCCCCCTGCCCGATGGGGTCCATTATCCTCGGATGAACGGCGGAAGCTTTTTGCGAGCTGACGTGCCGTCGCGACGCAATCGGGACGACGACAACGACGCTGGTGGCGGCGGCGGCGCGCGTGTGATGACGTCGCGACGCTGACTCACCGTCGTACTCCGGAGGACCATAGCGGGACTAATTGCCCGCGACAATTCCGCTTTGGTGGGCCTTAATTGATAACACTCGAGAGTTACAGCCCAGAGTGCAATTAGTGCGATCGATTAGGGCGAATAAATGGCGAATCGCGTCCGAGTGACGTGTTCGCGATCATCCGTTGATGTGTAATCGCGTCCGGTCGTGCCAAATGGCCGCGAAAGACAGCGGCTTGAATTAGGGCTCGGGGTGTAGAGTTGTCTAGCGACGGGGTTGCGTCGTCCTCCTCCTGTTTTATTTTCTCAATTTATTTCTGCCGAGCTCGGTGAACTTTGCGGGTTCTGCGCCGAGGAGAAAAAAGGATCGGATAGAAACAACCAAGGTCTCAGGGTTGCGTAAGTTCTGTTGCGCGGAATTTCATTGAATCCCAAATTGAAGGAAGACAGATCTGGCGTTTACTGTGAAAACGATTTTCCTGACTGTAATCGTTCCAATGGATGATTATAATCACAAACAGCAACTATTTTCTTCACATCTCGTTAGTTTAGGTTAGGCATTAAGTATAATTGAAGAGTTTATTCACTACATATGTATACTTTTAAAGCGTATTTTCAGTGGTCTATCAAGGGAGCTACTCAAGGGAGCTATAAATTCATTATTTATCGAACGAAATTACATTTTCACATGTTTTTGGTTATTCAAATAATAAATGTTAATTTGAAAGTTAAGTTTCATGATACTGCCTCTTGCCATGTTTCACAGTGCTGAGTGCTACTTAAAGTGTAAACTTTAACAGCACTCAGCATAACAGCAGTTTTCTGGCTTACAATCGACCATTGCATAAAAACGGCGTGGTGAATATTATTCTCTTTTCTATACCGCGATTCCTAATACATAACATTTATAACGTTAAGTTTTTTTTAATTCGAATTGTATCATTTTTTACCAAGTTATACCGAAATAATGGAATCACCTATATCACTTCTACCATGAGGTGCGCAATTGCGATATTCGGTATTAAATTTCTCACGAACGGTGCACTCAAATGAAACTTCAACTACAAATGCGTTTCACTGCGATAAATGTTACATGAAATTTTAGTATAATTTCGGGCGCCTTCGATTAATTCTCCACTGCCCAAATTAATTTCTCATGTTCAAAACATTTTTCGTCTACATAGAATGTTTGAAACTAAAGTACTCACAGATGAGATAAAATTTTACTTTTCTAATTTTTTATTTCTCCATAGTAGGTATTTGTGATTCTGAGGTCACGTTGGGTAGTTACTGTCGCTGCCAACATACTAAAAACAGGCAGCCACATTGTGATTGTCATGTCACATTGGTCAAAACAGAAACAACAATCATATTGGAGATAAATAATGATGAAACTGGATTGTAACTTCAGAGCCACAGTGGGCAGTAGGTAGTCAAGTGAACAAACTTCTCAATAGACCGCAATGTATCAGCGACATTTCCCTGAAAGTGGAATGTCGAAAGAATTAAGCTTGATCTACAATGTGTTATTTGCTTCTTGTTTCTTTTTCTTTATCTCTTTCTGATTCACACCTTAAGTCTTAAACCTAATCTACAATGTGCTCTTTGCTTCCAGTTTCTTGTTCTCTGTCTTTTTTTAGTTTAAATCCTGATCTACAATATGCTCTTTGCATTCTGTTTCTTATCTTCTGTCTTTTTCTAGTTTAAGACCCGTTCTACAATACGTCGTATGTCTCTGTCGTATATCGGAACACAATCAGTGGTGCAATAAGGAGAACTCGTCTCGAAAAACAAATCCTCTGATTGGCCCATCAGCTGCACTCCGACGTATTGTAGAACAGATTTGAAACTTAAGGTTTGAGTCAGAAAGAAATAAAGAGAAAGAAGCAAGAAGCAAAGAACACATTGTAGATCAAGCTTTTAGCCTAATCTACAATATGCTCTTTGCGTTCTGTTTCTTGTCTTCTGTCTTTTTCTGACTTAAAGCTTAAGGTTTGAGTCAGAAAGAGATAAAGAGAAAGAAGCAGGAAGCAAAGAGCATATTGTAGATCAGGCATAAAGTGTGAGTCAGAAGGAGATAAAGAAAAAGAAGCAAATAACACATAGTAGGTCAAGCTTTAAACTAAAAAAAAAACAGAGAACAAGAACAGAGAAACAGGAAGCAAAGAGCACACTGTAGATTAGGCTTTAGGAATGCTACGATTGTCGGGTTTATTGTACTCGACTCGGTTTGTTTCGGTGGGTCCTCTTTTCACATTGCAGCGGGAGTGTCGCGAAATTTTTCTCCAATTCCCGACGTTTTTCTCTACAATCGCTGCGTTACATAAAGAGTCACGTTGCTTGTCACGCGGTCGAGGTAGGTTCAGCGATTTTCACCGGTGGCTGGTGAACCAGCGAGTGGCACACGAAAAACTCGCTTGCGGAGCTTTTAATTGGCCCGCGCGCTCGCGCTCGCAAGCGCGAAAGGAAATATTTTACGGGCGCAGTGTGACAAAGCTCGGGTAAATTTTCGCGAGAGCAGAATCGCGCCCGCGTGCGCGGATTAATGCGACGGGATATTTTGCCGCTAAATTGGCTCGGGACGTTCGTCCCAAAATGGGGCTACGCGCTTTCCCGATGCCGCACAATAATGACGCGCACTCCGCTTGTTTCGCGAATGTTTTATTGGCCGCCGCTTTAAATTTTTTGACATCCCGTGTGAGTGCACGACGCGGCTAAAGCCGCGACTAAAGCCGATATACACGAATATATCCTTTGTTTGTGTTCATCTCTCCCTTCTTTTTTTCTTTTTAAATATGCAAAAGTAATCCGAGCGTGCATCGGAATAGACACCGTTACAAACGACACTGCCGTTCACATCGTATAGCTACGATCGTGGCCGTCGGACGTGCCCCGCGCTTGCCTTCTCCCTTACTCTCGCCCGAAAATGGAATTATTGGCGAGATAAATAAAGCAACGCGCGAAAAGCGGACAATGCAGCCGCAGCGCGGCGAAACCGCAAGCGGCACGAAACTGCTGACGGTTTCGAACAAGCGGAGTTATTTAGTGCCGTCGGCGCGTTTACGCCGCACTCTTTGTTTTTCTCGCATAAGAGCTCACAAGACCGTGACAGAGGTAAAAAAGAGGTAGGGGGGATTTGTGCAAAAGATTGTGAATTAATAGGAGTATAGATCTTTTGTTACGCGTATGTCTATTAAGTACACCCCATATTCGGTGTAGAAAAGTTAAATTTTATGAATATTAACGTCACCGTATGTCCAGATCAATTCTATTCAGTAAAAGCAGAAACGTTTCAAGGTCATCCTGACCTTAACAGAAATAATTTGAAAACATAGTATCATTACATTTTTTATTCATTAGGATTGTATTCCAAAA